AAATTATCATTTTTAACTTGCATTATGATAATTAAATACTATGAACTTGTCTCAATAGAATTAAAACTATATTACAAAAAAAACCTATATTTCTTCCTTACAACGATGAACCATTATAATTATTCAGCATTTTCCATGATTGAATTGCACATGGATGATGTGTTTTCCAATTATCAACTAAAATATCTAGATACTGAATTATACTGAATGAGATGCTAAATACAGTGATATGAATAATATATTATACAGTTTTCGACAACTAAAGATTTGCATAATGTGTTAACAATTTAATCAATTATTGTTGTGATCATACACAATTTAGAATAAATCTAATATAGATGGAAATCATAATTTATACATTTTAACGAAATTCAAAATAATATTAAATTATCAATAGTCCCCTTATCGGTTGTGTATAAATAAATAACAAACATTAAACTAGTTATAACATTTTTTTTTTTTGAATTTATCTTCCTATTTTCCTTTAAAATAAACTTGCTGTGAATTCCAAACTTTATTCTATACAAAACAATTTCAGCTAAAGAAAATGATAATATGCCATGTATGTTTTATTATGTACATTATAATAACATGTAATGACTTATGTTGTACTATACACTACCAAATATATATGATGGCTTAAAAAAACCATTTTAAAAATAAATCAATTGTGTTTATACCGTATACATGGAAAATGTGAAAGACAACCGTGAGGAGTTAAAGGAAAATGTGTTTTTGAAATTTGATAGCCGTTTCTATAATAAATTATTATTATGGTTCCCAGTGTTTATATAAAGAGTTGGTGATGTCCGTATGAAAAGACTAAGGGGTAAAGACTAACATCAGGCGATGGATTTTCTTTTGTTCTGTTAAATCGAGCCAACACTAACCGAAACTTTAGCCTTTACCGGGTCTGAATTGTAATCACTAACAACAACCGCAATCAAAGCGAATAAGTATTCCCGGTATTTCTTTGTTAAGAACTAAGTTTGAAGAATACCACACAAACTTTAATGTTTAATCATTGGAGGTATGATTGCTGCACGAGTGTACTACCAATAGAAGAGAATACAAGTACACATTATTACTGGGGTTTCCCTTTTGTTGGTTGATTTATTAAAAAAGGTTACCAGCATATATTATTTAAATATAACGGAACTCAATCACTAATAAATATTAGTAAATAACAGAGCTTTTAATGAATTTAAGTAACCGTTGCCTGCTTAACATACAGGAGTACACATAAAAAGATTTTAGGTTTCCAAAAAATTTTAAGTTATTAATGTATTAAAAAAAAATTCCAAATTCTAAGATGGGAAAGATAAAAATGTACAGTGTGCTTTATTACAAGCATAATATTATAGGGGGTTAAAGTTAGGCAATTTCTTAGCGTGTCACTAATGAAACGCGCATTGCTATTAAAAATGTTATGCTTAATTTATACTATTACTGTATTCAATTTTTTTAATTGATTGTGGTCCATTCTTTATTTTTAAATATTTTTTTTTTTACTTAACAAACACTTATTATTGGGTGCTATATTTTCATCTTTTTTTGCAAATCATATTCTGTTAGATTAACCTATATTATTTGGTGCACAAATGTGTTAGTATATATAAATTATTTTTTGGGTGGTCTGAAAAAGTCTTGGAGTACATGTCTGACACAACATGTCAATTGCATACATGACGGTGTTCTTGCATAACTACTGAATATTAATACTCAAGATCGATAAGTACAATTGAATATAATATAATTGTTAATAAATTAGTAGTACTGGTTTGAAACGCTAAGTTAGCAAAACTTACACTGTGACTTATTACTTTCGTCTATACTCTATACTCTTTAAAAAAATAGTCTCCATTATCCAATTATCGTTTTAGTAATATTTAATGTGCTATTTAATGGCGTTTCAACTCATAAAATATGTTTAATATAATATCGTAAGTTTAATTTAATACCTACAACTAAACAAATTAGCCATGGGCATATTCTTATACTTAAACTGCATGTGAACGGCTAAAAAACTTGGATAACGTTATTAATATTGTTTTCAAAGTAATTTTTGTTAGGCAAACGAAAACAAACGAGTGTTCAATTCTGTTAAACAAGTTTCACTATCACAAAACCCGCAATAATTTATTTTCTATTTTTAAAAATATATTTTGTTTTAAATAATAGTATTTTATAATAACTGTTAAATTGTTCATTTATCATGTTTTTGGCAAGAAGTCGAGTATTAATGGCACAAAATATGTTACAGTCATTTGTTTCTAAATAGTATAAATGTTATTTACTGCTTCACCCTAATATATCATTTATTTTGAGTGCTTGTATTATTTTCTTGAAATCGCAAATAACAGTCGTTACAATATTATAAGTGAACGTACTTCAAGCCAATTGAAATTTAAGTTATTTACAAGACAATAGTTTGGCGTTCTTGGCAACACGCCAACATCTGTAAAAATAAATGAAATTTGTTAAACGTTTGTTGTTATACATGTACAGAATTTTACATAATATGTAAAAACCGTGTGAGTTGCTGCAAGTGTCAAGTCCGTATTCACACGGTATGTATTTAGATACTACACCAGGTTCATTTTGCCACTAGTTAAAATAATTAATTCAGTCAACGATAAAAAATAAATATTATACCAAAGAGCCGAATGAGAATTGCAATAATATAAGCCTAAGGCGTTTAAAGGATAAAACCATTTTTTTTTTTAAACTTTAGAATAAATGTTACCGGATAGAATTTAACGTAGCTATTAAAAGTAAAATATAAAGTAGTAATAGTTTGTTTTTCTGTATAAATTCAAGTTATAATTACATTTGAAAAAATGGTAAACGTCCAATAAAAAAAATTATTTCAAACAAAAGTTATATTTTAATAGCAATTTAACTAAATATATTTTTATAAAGAAATAATGCTTCGGTTGTTGGGAAAGAAATATGTTAGATTAAATTTAGCTGTTATCAAAACGACAACAATGGGAAAGCAGGAATAGGTATAAATTCCTTGAAAATAAAACATTAATTTTTTTTCATTGTTTCAATTCTAAATTTTTATACTAGTGCTTTTTACGTTAACTGAAAGCGTCGATACAAATAGTGTAGGCTATAATTTACATAATGTTGTATATTATAATAGTGTGTTCTAGAATCAATTGTAAAATATGACTCCGTCGTAAAATATTCAATATATGTTTAAAATTTGTTAACGCGAAGTACACAAATTTAGACATGTATAGTACTATAAAAGGGACTTATATATAAATATATTAAATATAGGTTTTTGAATAGTATATTCTATGTATGACCTTCGCTAGTAAAGTTATTTTAGTACCTACATTAAACCCTGAAAATATCGATTACTATTTACCTAGTGGAAACGCACACCTACTATAAACAATAATTTTTTAATTTGCACGTCATAACAATTAATAAAGTTATAATGAGTGAAAATTGCTATTAGGAATTAAAACTACTACTAAGTATAGCTCCAAATAATCAGTGGCGGCGCTTTTACATACAGCAGTCTTATCAGCCATATAATACACAATTTGTATATCCCTCAATTTTTTTAATGAACTAACCTATTTCTCCAAAAATTACAGATTGGCAATACAGACGTAAAGCTAAAAGTTAGCTATTAGAAAGCTAAAGAAATTGAAGGGTAAATTAATTCGTTTCTAGTATACACCAACATTTAAAGTATATATTATTTTATTATAGAAAACTCCCTATTTGGTACCCCTAAAGAATGGCTTCGAATATTGATGATGAATGACAATGTTTCTAGCATACTCCAGTACCATAAAACACATATCTATAAACATATTGCCTATGTATTGCCCCTTAAAAATAGCCAAATAGGTTAGGTTATAACTTTTAGTGATAACTGGTAAAACACGATTTTTGAAGAAAACCCTCTATAAATAAAACATAACAAAACAAATTATAAAAGAGAACTGTTCAGCAATAACGAAATGCGTCGGTATTGTATCTTGATCGATTGGACTGCATATAAAAAACAAATGCGGGACTTCTTTAATAATATTATACTATATTCGTATGCACTTTGTGGAAAACGGCGTGGCACTTGTGGTCCTTTGAACAAATAGCATACAAAAAAACAAAGTGTTAAAAAAAGGCAAATATTAGTAGTGTATGCTGTGTGTTTGTACACCGTGCGCTAGTAGTAGGGTACACAGTGTCTTCGGATGTCATGCGGCCGACCAACGAGTCTGTTGCGCCCGGCGAATTTTAATAAAAACGTGTACCCACTACCCTCCGCCTCCCAGGACGACGACCGGAGTGTGCCGCCGGCGGTGATAAAGGGTTGCGGGCGCGAAGGGTGTGGTCGCCGCCGCTGCACGTGGCCGCGCGGGTGTGTATTGATGTGCCGCAGTCGGCCGGCGGTGGCGGTGCAACGAGCCTGCCCGACCGGCGACGACGGCGGACGACCGTGCCGGAGACCGATATCGCGCGTCGGCCGCAGACGGCGGCGCGCACCGTACCCCCGTCTCGCCATCGCCGTCGCATTCGGGTGCCGTACGCCACCAACGACTGCCGGTGTCGCGCCGACGCGGTCGTCTGCCGCGCGCGCACAGGTATCGCACCGCCGCGTTACCGGTGCGGCGCGCGCGCTACGGTCGCGCGGTTCACAACTGGCGGCGGCACGGCAACGCACAACGGTCGCCGGTCATTCGTACGCCGCTTCCATCCACCAAACAACGTCACTTGGTTAACCCGTGCCACCACCAGGTCCAGCATCGGCCTTACGACATTTTTATTTTTTATATTTTTTTTACCACTAGTAAGTACACAATTTAAAACACTAACGGCCGTAACAGTATTTTTTTAATAACGTACACCGTCGACGAGCGTTTATTATAATTTGTGTTAATTTTTTTTTTCGCGGTATGATTTTTATTCGTTTTATTTGTTTTTTTTTTTTACTTAATTTGTAATTAATTTTATTTTTTTTTTCGACCACCCCTAAATTGCGATCGCGGACGTCGTCCACGAGCCACGGAAGTTTTTGGAGAGGGAAACGAAAAATACACAATCGGTGAGTACCAATATTTTTTTATAATTATGTTCTAATACCATGGATCGCCCTACACCGAAAATTTTGTTTTTTAAAATTTATTTTTTTTTTTAAACAGCTAGTAAAAAATGAAATAGCGACGGGACGCCTCGTATTTTTTTATTGAGAGAACTTTTATTCGAAACACTTTAGCATGTTAAATTTTTTTTAATTTTGTTTCTGAACTGTTTTTAAAAACACTCGAAATTAACGAGCACTATAGAAAAAAAGAAGTATTGAACGAGCCAAATATATTGTTTTGAAAAAATAATCCAACTTGAATTTTAAATTATATATTTTTCCGTGAAATTTTGAATGCGTTCTTAAGTTTAGGCGCTAAATTTGGAACGTGATATTAATTTAATATGCACTCGAACACATTAAGCAGGCTGCACTCTTTGTGCGAAAGCCTAAAATTAGTATTTTATTACCGAGACTCACATTCCGTCTTCCATTGGTTTACATTTAGTAGATCATCTTTACTTCACATTTTAGAGCAGCAACAGATACAAATATATAATATCCTTTGTGACAAAACTTTTCGAATAAAGTACTTAGAACAATTTAAATAGAAGTGATATCTAAAGTTAAAACGTACAATTATGAAAAAATTGATTTAATAATCAAAAATAATCAAAAACTGACTGATCATAACAGGTGGTATTAACTGGTAATTGCCTCGGTGCGCAATTACTATTTAAAATTGCATGCACTTCGAATTACAACCAAGAAATATATTAATGTACTGTGGTCTGTGTTTTTAATGTCTTCACTTGTAAACAAAACCCGCGTTATTGCGTTAACTAACCGCGATGCACATAATAATAATATAATATTGCATGTTACATTATTGTTATGACGTATGATTTTCTTATGGTTCTTAAAATTTATCACGTTTTTCTCTCTTACACCTATTGTTTTTTTTTTAACCAATCCCCTCACCCACGGTTTCTAACTAAGTGAATTATTAAAAAAATTCTCATTAGAATACAATAATATTTAAACAGAAATAAATGAAAGGTGTTATTCCTGCGACAACTCCGGTAAAGGTTTGGCTGAGAAAATAATTTTACATTTGCACTCTATTTGAATGTTTTTATAACAGCATACCTGAGTAGCAACGCCCTTAAAGGCCGACAACTAATACTAATGACGTTACGGGCCAATTATTATCGTTTACACCGCTGCCGCTGAGTTTATACCGTTAAGATATTGTGTAATTTCATTTTTAACGACCGTTTTGTTGGAAAAACTATTAAAAAATAAAAATCACGTATCTACAATATTTTTCTTATAACAGTCGGTGTACTTTATGACGGATTTTTATCATAGCTGCGTATTTAATATAACAACAACGATATTATAATATTATTATTTACCGTGGTACGTGCGCGGGTCTGTTTTCAAGTATGAAAAACACTTGTACTTACCTAGGTACACTGAAATAAAAAATAAAATACATAAAATGCGTTCATCGTGCCGTGTTCTGTTACGTGTTCTACAATAATAGTAAAAAATTTTAATGGATTCTCTTTCATTTTTTTTTATCATTGTTATTATTGTTTTTTCCCCTTTTTTTGTTTAATTACGAGTCACGTCATCATTTCGAATGATATCCATCACAATTGCACTGCGCAAGAGGGTCCGCAAGTGAGGAAAATTAATTGTAACCTCCTGCGACGATATTAACGTGTCGGTGTGTAATTCATATGAAAAGTAGTACAATTATTTGTGTATAATAAGTAGAATGTAAAAAATACGATATCAAAAAAAAATATGTATTACGGCTTGTAATATTTTCAATATTATTTCTACATCTACTGCATATTTTAAGGTAACGGTAATTTGCGTGGGCTCCGGTCGAAGAAAAATAAACGTTATAATAATATCTTTGGCAGTTCTGATACATTATTATGTTAAACAATAATATTAATAAACTGGTTTCATAGCTTGGGTTTTGTATTTGCCTTTCGACCAGTTTTCGCGAACCAGCATTGAAGTTTCTCTCGTTCTCGGGGCACCGGGTCAGCAAGACAGCTTTTAATTCAATTTCCCCGTTGAATGTTAACCATACTGACCTTTTCACACCCTTGGCTTACGTCTTATGGACATCGAGATGATAGCGAATGATTCGAAGTTGGCATCTCTTATATGATGTTCGCTTTTGTTCATGAATTTGTCCATGGTTTTAACATTTTTCAAACGTCGTCGGGGGCGATGGCGACTAACCAGACATTTACCTAATTTTTTGTTAAAACACCAGATGGGTAATTCGCTATTGTGTGTGTAATAAATGTTTCCGTTCCAAAACCGGAACAACGCCAACGACGTTTATTTTGTTGTTTGACTTGTTTCGGTGAAAACTTTAGAAGCTTTCGAAGATCTGGGTGGAAAAATAACAACAATAAGTCATTTTATTCTGAACGCATAAACGGATATTTGTAGAACTCTGTTTGAGTTAACGCCAGAGTAAGATATCAACAATATTTTTACGTTCCCCCCCTTGCGAAAATATATTCAATACGGTTTCCTACCCCGGATCGATTTCAACTGAGTCTCAAGCATGTTTGTAATTCGATTTGAATAAAAAACGACGGAAATCGGATTTTCGCCTTCACCGATGCCATTACAGGGAAATATGTACAGTAATATTATACGAATGTTTTATTATTCATATATAAGTACATAATCTAAAAACCCAGAAGCCTAACTTGTTGTTTTTGTTTTATTTTTCGTTAAAACTTTCCCTTTATTTTTTTTTTTTTTGTGTGTACTTTGTTCACCCCGCGTTTTATTATCGACCACCGACTCGGCGTTTTGTTTGCTAAAAGGCGCTCACTCGTCTTTATACAATGTTCAACAAACAAACCGCCAACAGTAATCCTCTACCGACGAATAGGTGGTATACAATTCTGTACTCCGGTTTTCCTACCAGAATTTTTAATTATTACACCGGTTAAGCCCCACGTGGTGCCGATCAACAAATGGTAGATGTAACGCCAAACTCTACAATACTACGGTATATGATGCGGACGCGTTTGTAAATCGACTTGAATAAACTGCTGTAACTCGTACCTATGTTATAATACTGTGTGTACAGTGTATGTGTATGTACTCAAATAGGTATATTATATATATATATATAAAAAAGCATGCACACCTTTTATCTGTACTTCGCATCATAATAATAATAATGTTTTCGTGTCGCGAACAGTGGAAAAATAATAATCATAAAAAAATGAACTACAAACATATCATAATACAAAATATGACGTACTACAGAAGTAATTTGTTTTTTCTAACACGCGATGGGGAGAGATTTTGTACGTGGCAGCTGTCCGATTTAAAAGGGTTTCAGGGGCCGCCGAGTACAAGCGTTTTGTGGGAGAACGCCTGGTTAGAACAGTGTGAAACTTGTGTGTGTGTTTCTTCCCCCGACAGTACAATATAATATTGTTATCGTGTCCTTCATATGTGCCTGTACTTTTTTCACACACGATCGGTTTTTCTCTTTAAAACCACGGATGTGAACCATTTATTATAGTACATACATTCAGTACAGTATTTCAGTACATATATTATGTACCTATGTATGTACTGAGAAAGTCAAACCAAAGTTTTGCAATACATCGAAAGCAATCGACAACGGCCGTTGACACATTATTATACAACTATAATATTCGCATACACGAGGAGGGAGACAGGGTGTCGTGATAGCCCTCAGCTATATAACATATGAGAGCACGGGAGGAACATTTGTTAGAAAGTCAGTAGATAGGCATCGGGTGTTAGAATTGAGTATTTTTTACAAGCTTACACGAATGTGTGCTTAAAAATTGATAATGCAATAAACATTCGAGTATTAAAAATCTAATTTCTGAACACACAGTGCCTCGGAGATATGATTGAAAAATCCAGTAGACGGCCTGGATTCAATTTGTTAATCCATCGATGGTCTGTTAACAAAATATTTAGATTAGCAAGAAAACTATCGTGTCAACACTTCAAAGCAAGTCTCTCGACCAATGATATTTTATATGCATATTATCAAAATTATGTTATTACTATAATCGGACAATGGCATGTTTTTTTTTTTTTTACTGATGGGTGGGTGGGCCGACTGTAGTAATCATAATTATGATATTTTAGTGTGATGTCCTCTGCGCTAACTAATAGGTAGGTGCGGTGTGCTCGTTAGGTATCTACGGCTACAGCTACTGTATACTTTGAGTTTCCCGTTATAATTTTCCCAAAAAATGTGCACAATAGTATTATAATATTGCTTTTGGAGCGTGCGCACTAATTTTCCCCCACATTGTTTACTCGGTATCAACTAAGCATCCGTTAAGTCATCATTATCAGCAACGCGCGCGCGCGTGTGTGTGTATGTGTGTTTTATCAGCGGTAATTTTAAGTTTACACGGCCATTATATATGAATAAATGTTTAAACATTTGCATTGATTATGTGGGGCGAGGAAGGAGAAGTAGGGTCTCACCAGTTTATTTGTTTGTACAAAAATTTTACGATCGCTTGCACTGAAATTTATTTTTGTTTTTGATGGGTGTCTTTCTGAAACACTCACCAAAAATAAAACTACCGTATATAATATATTTAGATCACACCGCTACACTGCAAGCGCAGTGTTTGGTTTTCGGCACGCTACCATGTAGGTACATAATATTATTATCATGGGCCGGGCATTAAGGCCTTCCTATGCACTGTGTGTGTGTATATAACGGCATTTCTTTTGCGTACGGGTCGTTAAGTCATAAAAACAATAGGACCCGCAAGCCTAATGGTACATGATCGCATAACGTCTAACCGACTGTTTTAAGAGTCACGGACGTCGATTATTACTAATTATTATTATTATTATAACCTGGTCGGCCCCCCAGCTCGTTAATATTATCATTGTCGTTGCATTCCGGCTGATTGGCCATTATTGTTTATCGCCGACCGTAAGTGTACATTATAATAGTG